AACTTGATCTCACTGCATCCACTAGAGACGTTTTGATCGAGTTTCAGCTGCTTGACTTGTAGAACGTGGCTGTAGCTGCTGGGTCTGCACAGAGTGAGAGCAGACTCCCCTCTGATGCAGCACCCCCCGGGCCCTGCAGTCTCCAGACTCCCATCCTGATGTGACGGAGCCTGTTTCCTTGTCGCAGAAATGATTTCCAGCTGCCTCGAGGTGAGATTTTGGATGCTTTCCGCTCTCCTCAGTGCTTAGCTTTCCTGCTGGCTGGCTCCAGGCAGCTTCCTGCTCACCAGGTTGCTTCTCCCGGTGTGTTATATTACACAGGGAACCTGGGCATCTGTGCGGGTGTTGTGGCTGGGGCCAAGGAGTCAGACACTGCAGAAGCAAACCTGTTCAGCCCCGAGTCCTTCATCTGTGCTCTGTTCTTATCAGTGATGGGAGATAAGCTCTGAGGAGTTTGACTATTTTGTCTTCACACAGTGCAGAGATGAATGAAAAGAGTATATACTCCCAATTTGCTGTTGCATAAAATGGTGACTGTGTTTTTAGCTGCAGTTGTATTTTGAGTGACAGTATTTTTACCTGGACTGTGACGGGTGGAAGTTGCTTTTATTTGCTGTTCCTGTGTCCTTTTGGGTGGGAGATGAACTCCTGTTATCCAAGTCATGTCATTCAGATTCTCTGCCCTTATTTACTGACTTATTTTGTCAGTTTAAGAAAGGGTCTTCTGTCATGTTGCCTCTGACTTCTGCCATGCTAAAGACACACCTGAAACAAACACATCTAAGGAATTAGTTTTCTGTGGTAGTTGCCACTGGGCAAGCTCCAACCAGGGGCTAGGTCCATGCCCTACCCCCAGTTTGGGAGGAGCTGTGTACTGAGGCAGGGAAAGCAACTGCTTGAAGTTGTAAACAAGCCTTTTAAAATTGTAAGAAGTGCTCTACACCCCTTAACAGCACCAAAAACCTGGGCTGACTCTGAGCGGGAGTAAATCGCTGCTAAAACGTTGTTTGCAGCATGCTGACATCAAATGTGCCCTCTGGTGTGCACTGTGCCACCTATTACTGTGGTTTGTTACTGTCCTGGTTCCATGTAAAAAGGGGTTCAGGGCAGGACCCACACGGAACAGAACTATGTACTCGCCGCTCCCCCACCCTCGAGAGAGAGAGAGAGACACTGTTGAAAAAAAATGAAGTATATTGTTTAACAAGGAACAGAAAACGAAAAAGGGAGGTAAGGAAAATAATATATACAAAGATTAGGGGAATAATACAAAAAATAAAATATACAACACCATCAGAAATGGTTCCAGGGTCCCACGGAGTGAAAGGAGAACTTTCCTCTCCGAGCTCCAAGGCAGGAGGGAAACTAGAACCCACTCCCTGCCTCTTATCAGAGTGTGTGTGGGAAGGGGAGGGAATACAATGGTTTCACCCCCACCCGGGGTCCTCCCAGTTGCTGGAAGGTCACGACCCCATTCCAAGCCTCAAACCACAACAGTTACCCAGAAACCAAACCCTTCTGAGCAACTCTGTCCTAAAAGTCAGTGCCGTCACTAATGCTGCAGACAGAGCCTGGGCCAGATTAAGGATTAGGCACACACAGATGCGATTGGCAGCCTGAAGGATGCTCCTCTGCCCAGCAGGTTTAAACCCTCAAAAGTTTTCTGCCGTACAAAGGCAAATCAGGTGTCATTGCTGCTCATAAATGGATCCTCTGGCCCAGGGTGCTGCAACAAGATATTCCAGAAAACAACCCTGGCAATTTGCCTGCAAGATTTCCTAGACCTGCTGCCTCCCTCTGAGGGAGTGCTGTGTGCTGCCTCGCCTCTCTCCCTGCCTCCACAGCCAGACCTGGAGACCACAATTTAATAAGCGTGCTACAGCCAGCACCGATTTGGAAACTATTGTGTGTAGGGGCAAAATGCTCCCAAGAGCATTTGGCCTTGGAATTCAGTGCAAGCTTCAAGTGACAGAGTTTCTAGAGATCTTTCCATTAAATGTTTACACACCAGGGGTCAGAGGTGACACTGCAGTCCATCATTATGCCAATTTCACAAATCAACAGGAAAACAGATCAATATTCAGTTGCTTAAGTATATTTTTTCAGCCTTTTAAAGGGTGGAAGCATGAATGATTATTCCAGAAAAACACCTCTTATTTTCAAACAGGAGAAATGGGTCCATGTTTTCAACCAGGCACGTGCCTAACTGTACCACAGGCCAAAAGGAATCCTTCCACCACTGCTCTCTTCTCCAAACCCAGCTGAAAGGGGAATATAACAGCAACTGCTGTCCACATCAACTAATATTTAGCTGCTTCTTACAGGACTGCTTGGGCCCTATATAAAATATAGTTTCCCTATAGCATTGTTCATCTTAGGATCTATATACAGGGTTTTGTTGGTGTGGTTTGTGTTTCTTTGTTTGTTTTGTCTATAAATGTAAGAAAATTCATTTCCAATGTAGGTGAAAAACTTCTTTTCTACTTTACTCAGTACAAATCAAAACTGAAAAAAGTCAAGCCTGCACCATTTGGAAATGCAGTGACTTCAAAGCAAGTTGTCTTATCACTGTACATGTAACCAAAGCAGCAAGTTTACACAACTTAACTAGAACATTAATCGCATTCAAAGCTCTGCAAAATGAAGACTTCTGTGGCTGTGAGCAAGGCTGCTGCTGCCAGCTCTTATCATAATGACAAGCTGCTGGAGAAAATAATAGCCCTCGGCTCTCCACGTTGTTTTGCACTGAGGACCCTCCTGTGCACGTGCAGTTGCCCATATGCTTCCTCTCCTGACGAGGGCAAGAAAGAAATCACCTTTATATGCTTACAACGTGTTAATGAGCATCATCTTGAAACACTGCAATAGGGACCATCTACTAACGTGATGCAATTCAGAGTGTATCCAGGGTGCAGTTCAAAGAAGATGGCCATTTAAGGTATAGCCCACATAATGCACACTGATTTTCAGCTACAGGCAGATAAGCATGGGCCAGTAGATATTCAGGATGCACGGTCTCATGCCAAGACTCCCTCTGTGTTCCAGCTACACCACCCAGCCACATATTTTAGCATTCAGTAGAGATTAGAAGAGAGGAATAAATAAAACAGTGAAGATGCCACCGCACATCAGCAAGGCAGGTGATGGCAGAGCCTCAGCTCCCATTAAGCTTGTAATGAAATCAGGACATAGAATGACAGCTACATCATCTTTTCTCATACCTGCATTTTGACCAAAGATAAGAGCGTTTCTGTGCTTTTAAAGATGCCACAAGCACTCCATAAAGAAAGATCAGGAGGATCCAGTCACACAGAAATTAATTTTAAAACTTAATGTAGTGGAATTTTTTTTGGTGCCTTTCCATGACACAAGCAAAAGTCACTGTGCTTGGAAAAAAGATCTTTGAACATCGCTGCTATTTCAAGCGGCCTTTCACCAAGTTTTAGCATAGGCTGCCACAGCTGTCTTGATCCCAAGCTCAGTTTGGGGTTCTGTTAATTCAAAGAAAACTTTCAGAGAACCAAAGACAGCAGTTTTGTAGAAGCAGATGGGATACTGCAGGAATGGCTGCCCTCAGTTTGGGTCTAAGCTACTTGTAAACTTTCAGTACTTAGAAACAGAAAGGTCAGAACACATATCAGTCATTACTCAAAAATAAAGACTCCACAGCAGTTGTGCAACAACTAACAAGATATTGGACAGGTATTTTCTCAGACCACTTTTGCTTCACCTGCACTACAGTACCCTGCAAACTTTATTAGGGGAATGATTTCAGAAAAAAACATGAATTGTGGTACCACTACACATGTATTTTCAGGAAGCGAGTGATCCATTCGGTGCGGTTTTGTTCCTGGACCTCAGGGAGTGAGGGGGGAGGAGAAAGAAAAAGGGAAAAAAGGCACAAAGCTGTATCAGCTCCTGTGCTCATGTGATGGTATGTACACCACAAATTCAGAACTTTTAACCTAAACTCACAGAAGCAAGCCAGCAGACTGAAAAATGTGGCTGGTTTCAAGGAAATGTGACAGATGACCTCAGCCCCCTCTCTGCACATCCAGCTGCCAACTCTCCCCTAGCTCCCCCTTAGCCGAGATCAGCTTTTTCCATGGCAAACCTGGGAACATCAGGAACAGGGTAAGATGGCCTGAAATAAACAGAATACAAACAGAAGGGGCTCCTGTAGGGATTGTGTTACTCAACTTTACATTTAATGAAAAACTCCATTTGTTCAGTCATAGCTGATGAAGAAGGACAGACTGCCACAAAACCCCGAACATCTGTCTAGATCACCAGAGATCACACTGGATTGTCTCCAGAGCTCTGCCATCATAATGCTGATTTGTAAAAGACACTGTTCAAACCTGCACATACATTAATTTTTTGTTTAGCAAAGAACTGGCCGTTTCAGGCTTCTGGGATGTCTTAGTCTAAGCTATTTTCCCAATATTAAATTGTTACTTAAAAAGACAAAAAAGACAGAACAAATTATATGGCAACATATTCAATATGTGGTTTGCTTAAATTAATGACAGGTACGTGGAAAGATAATTATTATATTACATTTCAGTCCACTGCAAACAGTAAAAATATCAGAGGTCCCAAAATTCAGTCTGAATAAGGTATATTACTAAAACCACCACCCCAGTCCTAACAGGCTAAAACATTTCATCTAGCAAAATTACCCACCCGATTATTAAAGAAACAGCAATGGTACTAAGAACAGCTCACTAAAATATACAGAACTACATTACCTAGGTAGATTTTATTGCAAAAACAGGAAAAAGACAGCAAACTACATATCTGTCTTCCATTTCAGATTTTTTATCACTTGTTCAAATTTCAGTCACTCGCATACACTCACACACACGCAGCCTGTACACAGAAAGTCGCTAATACATTTGAGTTCCCACAGTCTCACAAGAAACCTTAAAACAGTTCAGTAAAAAGTTAAAATGAGATCTTTTACCACAAGGACTATAAAATCCCACCCCACCCCACCCCCATTAAATTTCTAAGTTTTGGATTCTAAAAATCATACATAAAAAGGAAGGGTTATTTCCGTAGCACAAAGACTACCTTAAATGTATCGAAGTAAATCTAGGGAAAGTTAATGCAACTGAAAAAAAAAAAAAAGGGAGACCTGCATCACACACAGTCAAGCGTTTTCATCAACACTGTTGATAAGCTCGGAGTCTCTAAATGTCCTAGAGCACTGTTTGTTTTTGATGAATTTTCATTTCTGAAGTTACATAAAAAAACAGTTGTAGCAATTCATTTGGCCTGCTCATTTCACGAGGAAAAAGTCCCTTTCAAAATTTCAATAAATATGCTGACAAAGTTACTTGAGGTTGTCATGCAAGACAAGTTACATAACCAAGACCAACTCAATCTTTATAATAAAGGCAACTTGCATTCAAAAATGAACTTTGCCCTTACAATTTTATTCAAAGGCTAAACATGAATTAACCCAACTGTTTACCTGAATTACAAAAGTAAAATGATTCAATATGAAAATAAGAAACTGTCTACAAATCTCTGACAGTAATAAATTGCAATATACAATGCATACAGGAGTTATACAGAGCAACAAACTCTTGTACAAAACAAAAATACTTTAATACCTTTAAAATCCAATTATTTTTTTTTTTTAAATCATCATGAAAAAGATTTGAGTCAGAACTCACACCTCAGTTAGTCAAGCTTCTGGTAGCTACATTACAGCTATTTAATATACAAAGAGATAAATCTCTTCACCAGTCATTAAAACTGCCTCTTCGTTAGAGTGGCATAGCTGTTCCGTCTCGTGTTCCCAGATACAAAGTTTTCTTCCCATCATGAGAACTGAATTTGTTGAACACCAGAGATCTACCGAAAGAAAACACAAGCTTACATTCACATGCACCTTCCCCCAAACTGCGTTGCAGCCAGCAGCTTGGAATTGTCACAGTGTTGGGATGTCCTGACAGCCACCACCGGAGGATGAGACAGAATTCATTCTCATCTTTCAGACCAGGGCGGCTGAATTGCTGTTTAAATTTTAGCAGCAAAAGGGAGAGTAGGGGATGGGACAAAGTACCTGTTGATACGATGTTGTGTAGACCATAACATTCTGCTGTTGGCCATCTGTAGTTATTAAGCCTGCTGGCAACTGGTTAGCTGAAAGAAAGAGCATTTTAAGAAAGTTAGGAGCTGAAGTATACACAGAGCCCTGTTTGATATGTCTATCACCATTAAATAGCCTTTAATCAAGGTCCACTGTAGGACTAGGGAGCCATTCCTCTCCTGACAGCTATATAGCATATAGGCACACTTGGTACCGAGTATTAGAAGTAAACAAGTTTATTCCTGTTAAGGAGAAACACTTAAGAAACAAAGTTCAACTTAATTTTGCATCAGATAATCTAAACGTAAGACTGCATTTTGTTCTTCCCTCACACATATCTGAAGCAGAACATACAGAGGGGTATGCCGGCAAGTGAAGTTGGCCATCCTGACCACTGAAAAATCCCCAGCATTCAATATCCCAAGAAACACAGAAAATTCAGTTTGGTTTGTTCAGACATAAGGTTAACACCCAAGCATACTCGTGCCTGAGGAGCTCAATGAAACTGTTGCTCTTCTTTATCAAACAGGGTCCGTCAAGGTTTCCGTAATGGGGAAGCCCCATGGAAGGGAGCAGAGGTGAACAGAGACAGGCAATGACAAAAAAAAAAAACCCAAACCACACCTCCCCAAAAAACAACAGAAAAGGCACTGCCAGAGCCTGACATTTCACTGGTGGACTTCAGCATGCCCTTCAGGGTAGGCACGAAAGCTCTGAATTTCATAGAGAGAGGAGGCCAGTAAATGGAACAAAGAGTACTTCTGAGACTTAGAGAGAAAACACAGTGAGTGATGCTCTCAGATAAACCTCTATATATATTACTTTATATATTTTTAATATAGATATATAATATATAAACCTCACCATATTACTTCATTCTGGCCATAAATGCAACTGACTGGGAGGAGTTTATGTGAGCACAGGTTATTCTCCAGACATTTCCAGTGAAAATTTCAATGGATCACAGGCGTAACATGTGGCCAGTCCAGGATATATTCCTCAAGTAATAATTCTGATGTCTAAAGTGTCATGCCTCAAACCAGGACAGTAAAGGAAGTTCTGGTTTTAGAAAGGTCACAGTAATAATATAATAAATTAAAAAGTATTACTTACTAAATGCTTCCTCTGTGAGCTCCTCACTTAGACCATCTCCAGTTATAACTGTTCCCCCAATTCCCTTTTCTCCTTTCATTGCCTAGAGAAAGAGAATAAGAAAAAAAAAATAAAAAAAAAAAAAGAGAAAGGGCTTTGTGTTAGAGTACAGTTGGCTTGAGGTTGTTTCAAGACCCCAGGAGCTCTAGCCAAGGTTTTGAACTTGCAGAAGAGTCACTGTGCAGCAGCTGGAGCTTGACATCCAAGATCAGTAAAACTATGCGATTTAATAATGTGCCTAGTACAAGAATACATGAAGGGTGTTTTTCCATCTTAGCCACACTCCTCAGAAACAAGAACTCTGCAAACTAGGACTGAGTAGTTCTAAGAAAGGCTTTCACCTTCTGCAGAAACTCAAAGGTATGCACTAATCCGGAAGGAGCAGTTAAGAGCATTTACAAGAAGTGACGGAATCTCAGAGCTACTGAGAACCTGCAACGTGTGCTTACCAACCACACACGAGTGCCATCATCATACAACCAAGAGCTGACATGTAAAACCAAGATACTGGATTTCTTCTCCCACATCAAGGACTAGCCAGAAAGGACATCAGCATGGAAAGCCAAGCCTCCCAGTCATCAGCACGCAGTTTTACAAATGCAAAGCTTTATGCCATTAGCTAAGAACACCTAAGAAAATAATACAGGCATAAAAAGTATTCTCTGCACTTGTTTGATACAGACTAAATACTAAGCTACAAACCAGAAATGTTTTACTATATACAGAACTCTGAGGACAGAACCAGCTGGAATGGAGGTTTAAAACTGATGAGCAAAACCATCCAACCCAATTAAAACCCAATCCCACTACTCTGCTACCACAGCATATATATCTGCAAAACTGGTTGCTTCAGAATGAAAGTAGCAGAGGCCCAAGTCAGACTTCTCCAGAAGTACTGAAACTAGTTAGGCACTACTTGTTTTTTAATTTAAGCAGATACAGCACTTTGATAGCATGTGCAACTGCTACACAGGACTGGGAAAAGACAGCACACAGCACACTTCAACTTCTAGATTACAACTCCTGTACCTCAGTTATCACAGCAAATGACCTTCTGGGAAGGGGAAGCTTCAAGTGCTGTGAGCAAGTTAAGTATCATTAGGAAGTCTGACCCCATTAATCAGAAACTTAAGCTTCCATAGCAAAGAAAATCTGAAAAGCATCTATCTACAGTACTGACAATTTAGACGTACCTGCAGCACTCATATCAGTAAAACCAAGGATCCATAGCAAAAGAAGGATCCACATTTAAGAAAAAAAAATTGTTTTGAGATTTTTTTTCCTCAGAATTATTTTAATCCTTAACAACTTTATCATTCAGGACTATGAGGAAGAGTGGTCACTGGATAAAACCACCTTTACATCTGTTATTCTGAGGTAAAAGTACATCAAATCAAAGAAGCAAGCATAATTTTCTTTGGTCTCCAGAGGGAAGGCAGGGGGATGGGGACCATGCCAGAGCAAAAAAACCCAAGCAGAACTACATCTTTCTCAAAAAGTTTAAATTGCTGAAAGAGAAAAAAAAAAAAAAGTCACTTTCGGCTACAGAAGGGATAAATTAAACTTCTTGGATCACATACCTACCATGTACTATCTATCAAAAACAAACTGAGGGACAGGCTAAAAAAAGGCAGATTAAAAAGCCCTAGGGAAGCAGGTAGGCTTCCACGTGAATCTGACGTGAGAAAAACAACAACTTCTTTTGCAGATCTGAAGGCCAGACAAATAAGAGGCATTAGGTTAGTTCCTCAGAGGATCCAGTCTAGTAGAGTTTTATTGACTGAACCAAAGATCAAATTAAGTATTCTTAATAGGCATCTTTAACAGTAATCACCAGAGTGATTTACTAGCAGCAATATATGAGAACTTATTCAGTTGAAAGCTTTAACTATGTTCAATCAGCAAGTTTAATCAAAATGTTTACTTCTTTTTCTCTTGATATTCTCTGGAATGCTTTTAAACTTTATATTAGACCCTAATAATAGCTCTGAGGCACTGTGCAAGTTACCCATTATACAATTACAATGACAGGGAGCTAAGGATAAACACGACCAGCTTAAAAAAAAAAAAAATGTAAATACTGAAGCATATACCAACCTCTCTGAATTTTTGGAGGTATAACTTCAAAGGTTCAACATAGCTATCAAACCCCAAGGTAGACATGGCAAAAAGAATATCCTCTCCATTGATGGTCTTCCTTTTCTCTTGGTGACACCTCTCACTTGCTTCTGATGTGATAAAGCTGATGAATTCACTTACACACTCTTGCACGCACTCCTTTGCATCCTTAGCAATCTAGTAAGGAAGAAGTATAATAAAGTGATTAAGATGCAAGATGATTTTAAAAAAGCTCAACACCCAAAGAATATTCTGGACAATAAAAGAAACATCCCCAAACCTGGGGATAGCACCCATTCAGGTGATACCTGTATGTGATGGAACCACTGGATGTCATCATTGCTCTGTTTAAGCACATCTGCAACATGACTTTAACTTCAGTTTTACTACTTCAGGAAGCACAGTCACCTGCCAGGAACTCCTGAAGACATAACTACGTTCTGTGCAAGGTTGTACCTATAGATGCATCTCAGTATTGCTTCCTTTGCTTATCTACAACTTTGCCTTCAACCTGTTCATTATGATGTCATAGCTCACTTCCATCCTCCTTTTAACAGACCAAGCAGTTCTAGCCCCACTGCAGTACATTCCCAAACTTGGCCAAGACAAGTATTTTTATCCTGCCTAGATTCAGGGACTAGAATATGTGCCTAGCAGCAAGCCTTCCTAATGCTTTAATATTCTGATATAAATTTTCTAAGTGAGAATTCAAATGATGAAACATACGCCCCTGGCAAGAATGAAGTAAGTCAATTTTATTACGGTTTTCAGCTGGACAAAAGTAGTTCACCTGACTTAAAATAACAGCAAGCATTACTCATGATTATTTGGGAAGCTGACAGGAGCCAACTGATAGATTACAATAACCAAGATTCTTATTCTTCATATGAGAAGAAATTGTTTGCTTTAAAAAAAAAAAAAAAAGGCAGTAACCATATGTAGAATCTTCACTAGTTGCTCTGATATTTTCAGATACACAGGGCAAGATTTTCAGAAGCATTCATCAGCCAGCAGCTTCCCTTGCAGTTTTTCACAAATATCCCTGATTTTTCCAAGATAGCTTGACAACTCATATGCTAAATTCTTGACAAAAATCTCATCTTGATCACTAAAAACTTATGACAATATGGACTAGTGAAGAGATTTTGCAACAAAGATAAATGTAACACCCAGATCTCCAGAAAGCCCTGAACACTATGAAAGTACAAGCAGATACAAGTAAATTATATCTTGCTTCTATTTGGAGTGAATTAAAAAAAAAAAAAAAAAAAAAAAAAATCACCTTTAGCTACGTCAAGCGTTACTGGGGCAGGAATTGTACTGGAATACAAAAAAGAAACAGCAAGTAACAGGAGCCCTGCAAAGGTTGAAGATAAACAGGCCAACTGGTCAAGAACTTACACAATCATCATCTCAGCAGAATGGATTAAACTGTCTCTTCTTAGAAGAAATAAGTCTCTCAATATCTGGCCTTATCTGCTATATGATGTAAGACAGACTTCTTAGTTCATTTGGATATGTAAAGATTCAGGCAACAGACAGCTCACC